CACATTTGGTAAATTTTTAGTTACTACACTGTCATCTAATAATGGCTTATATTCATATTTCCCTCAACTATCAATACTGTCCTTTATAGGTTTTTTTAAACCTATGATCTATTCAAGCTTCATTCATTACATTTTCCTTAAGAATAGACACCCTTCTTTGACTTTCTTTTGACTTTCCTGTTGCTGACAGTTTGAAAAGATCAAGCTACTTTTCTTGTAGAATGTCCCACTGTGTTCAGACTTAGCTGAGTTTTTTCTTTATGATTATATTGTTTTACACATTTGACAAGAAAACTAACAAAGGAAATATAACCTTTGTGTTTTATCATATTCAGAGGCACATGGCACCAGTTTATCCAACTATTGATGATAGTCAACCTTAGTCATTTGGATAAGGTGATATTTGCCATATTTTTCCATTTTAAAAGCTTTTTTTTTTTTTCACTTGTTAGGGTAAATGGAAAGAGATGGCTGAAACTATACATCCTCTCTAACCACCATTTTTCCAATGCTTTGTCATTCATTGTCCCTCCCTGAATCTGCTAAGGGCTGCAAAATGATGATTATCCAATTCTCTCCTTATGTTTACATTTATAAGCTTACTTTATTCTGTAAAGAAGAACTTTTTTTTTAATACTGTAGGCATGGAAAATATCTTTTTATTCGGTATGCTATAGCCCATATTATTGTCTTTACTTTTTGATGTTCAAATATTCTCCAAGTTGGCCTAAGGGAAGGCCCTTTGAGTCACATTCTATGTCATTTTGACATGTGTCCAACAAGTGGTTCCCCACTCAGGATGATTCAGCTTAATAAGCTCTTAACTTTACCATGGTACAAAAGCAATGTGCATGCAGTCAGTAGAAATTACACGTAGGATTATGAATTTTGACCTTTTCCCTGGCTACTCTCTCAAGATGCTGGACAACAGCAGCAAACTACACCTCCCAGTCAGCCGTAGGGACAGGGGGAAGCAACCAGTGCTCTATATTACTGCCCTGTGTTGCTAAGCTATAATGGTCACCAGGCTTCGTGTATTTGGTGCATTTTTAATATGAGTGTCAGGAGTTGAGATGTAGCTCTAGTATTTTACCTTAAAATAATCCTTGTCTGGGTCAGGAATTTAGCTCAGTGGCACTGCGCCTGCCTTGCAAGCATGAAGTCTTGAGTTTGATTCCCAGCACCACAATAAATAAATAAATAAATAAAGCTTTTAAAAATAACAATAATAATACTTGTCTAATTGTAAAAATAATACCTACTATAACATTTAAGAAAGACTCTTGAAACATGGAGTTAAAAATGATTCTTTTATATTCCTCCACTCCCACTATAGCCCTATCTAGTCCCCTCCCCCAAATTGTTAACAATTTGCTCAGACCTTTCTTTTATTATCTTTGATGGATCCTAATACAGATAACGTAGGCATCTATCAAAAGATACAGTGAATGCTTAAAAAAATTTCAAATTTACTGCAGTAAAATGCACATTGCTATTAATCCTCCTCACTTTAAACACACTTATTCCATCATCATTCATTCTACTTTCTGAAGCAGTTCTGGAGTCCTCTTTTGTGTCTTAATTGTACCATCATGGCTGCCTCCATGCCCTGAATTGATTCAAAACATTTACCTACCATGGTCATTTTTATTTTGGGGAAGAGCCAGAATTCGCACAGTGCTAGATCCAGTGAATAATGTGGATGAGGACATACTGTGATTTTTTTTGTTTTGTTATGTTTTGGGTACCAGGAATCAAACTCAGGGCCTTGCACTTGCAAGGTAGGCATGGCGCCACTGAGCTACATCCCGGCTCCACTGTAATGTTTTTGTCAGCCTGCCTTTCCAGTGGATATGGTGCTCGCTAACAACATTCACCAAATTTTTTTTTTTTTTTGAGACAATCTCGCTATATAATTCAAACTGGGCCTGAACTCATTATGTAGGCCAGCCTGGCCTCGAACTCACGGCAGTCCTCTGGCCTCAGCCTCTTGAGTGCTGGGATTACAGGCATGTACCACCATGCCCAGGTAGCATTCACCAGATTTTTGATCCTGTCTCCTAAATACATGAAAAAGAACTTCCAGAATTGCTTCAGAAAGTGGCAAGAGTAAAAGCTAAGTGTGTTCAGTGAAACAAGGGAATATTTTTAGGAGGATTTACACATCCCCGTTAGTTTGAACCACCAGTGGTACATACATGAGTATACCATCAGGCAATGTGGGACAGTCATGGGACAGTTGAATGGTACAAGGCGCCCCATGGGACAGTCATACATGAATGACCCCACTGTGAATGTATTAATGGCAATGTGTCTTTTACCGTAATAGGTTTATTGACTATATTTTTATCACTCTGTATTATAACTTACTCTTAGTTTTTTATGTGGTTTTTTAATGTCCTTATATATTGTTACCTCTTTCTTTTTGGTAATTGTATGACAGTTTGTCTTAGTTACCTTTCTCATTGGCTGAGACAAAATACCCGACACCCAAAGTTAAAGGAGGAAAAGTTTATTTGGCTCACAGTGTGTAGAGGTTTCAATCCATAGTCGGCTGGCTCCAGGGCAGGGTGGCATGGCAGAGGGGCATCACAGTGAAGAAACAGTTCACGGCAGACAGAAGACAGCCAAAGCAGCAAGCAAGTCCAAGCGACAGTAGCAGCTTCTTTTTGTCCCTTGCATATTCTGTCTAGGCTACCAGGCTTCAGGCAGGGGCCAAACCAATCACTGGACTGATTTAGTAATCACACATCCTTAATTCCCAATGTTACACACTCTAGATCCAGACACCTCTGAAAAACCCCCACCTATGACCGCATAAGGCTTTGGGTTGAAGGGATGGTCATCTAGACACAAGCTATAACTTAGTTCATGGTAAGGATTTACCATAATGGATTTAGCCATTCCCCTACTGACATTTAAATTATCTCAAGTTTTTCAGTGTAATGAACAATTACAGTTAATATCCTATTCTAGAACATGTCTTTGCATTTGTACAAGTATTTGTATAGAATAGATGCTAAGAAGTAGAGTGGTTAAGTAGCTGTTATTCATTTATATATGTTTGTGCAGTATCTTCCTTGCATCTTTACCAAGTATTGGCATTATTTTTTTTTTAAACTTTGATTTCATTTAAATGAGTTTTTGGAACAGGTAGGGATTAATGGCTGTTTCCTTCATTTCAGTCTCTTTCTAGTTCCTCCCTTCTTCTTTCCCTCTGTTTTGGCCTCTGTCTCCAGTGGAGTATTATGTACAGGTATACCTGGGTGTCTGAACTTTGGCTGCCCAAATTCTGCACTTAAATGTATTTGGGCATATGTTTTGTGGACTCTTGCTGTATAACTCATGCTACCCTCCATCCAAAATTATATTGAATAAGATAAAAAAAAAAAAAAAAAAGTAACCCTTGCTTTCCTCACTTGCCCTCCAAATTCTGACTGTCCAAAACTGGGAACCCAGAGGGTTTGTGTACAGAAGAACACTTCCAGCCAGTCTTTGTTATATGTATTATACATTTTTTTCTTCTTGTGTATCTTTTGATCTTTTTATGTAGTTTACACAATAAAAAGGGTGTACATGTTTATGGTATCTATTGGTGTTCTAAAGGTTCCCAGGTTTTTGCTTTCCTTAAGTTGACTTTTCTCATTTAAGATTTTTTCCTGATCTTACTTATTTTTTATCATATGTACAATTATTTTTAGATACACTAGAATTTTTAGATAACTTATTTTTATACATTATCAATTTTGTCAGCATGCTTTCAATAAATGTTTCCTTTGTTGTTAATTTTTAATTCTACCTTTATCATATGTCAAGCATCTGTTTTGTAATGTTCTTAGAACAGTGCAAATTGTTAGGAATATTTTGATTCCTAGTTGGGAAAGTCCTTTGTCATTTGTTAAATATTTCTTCTATTGCTTAATTTTACTTCTAGGTACATGGAGCAGGAGGACAACTTGTCAATTTATGCTTCCTCCAGCAGTGTATAAGAACGTACATTTTTCCAGATCTGGGATAAGATGACTAGGTGTCTAGAGCCAAGATTTCTATGTTGAATAAACCTAAAAAAAGACAAATCTGTCCTGTAACCTAGGAGAGTCCACTGGGTTTGAAACACTGTTGGAGGGGCGGGGGATTTAGCTCAGTGGTTCCGGCGCCTGCCTCGCAAGCGCAAGGTCCCAAGTTCGATCCCCGCTACCAAAAAAAGTGAAACACTGTTGGAGCCTAGGGTTAGCTCTGACCATTTGGCTTGGTATCCTATTACTTATGTAGATCCACCCTCCCAGCTCCCACCACTTCTTGTTTCCTCTCCCCTTCTCCATTCAGTTGTTTGGGGAATTTTCATTTGTTCCTGAAGACCCAGTTCAGATGTTACCTTTTCTGGGAAGTTTTTCTTCATGCTAACAGTGAGAAGGTTGTTCTAACCTCTGTGCTTCATATTATTTATTCCTGAACATTAGCATTAATAAACTTAAAGCTGAACCAGGAGAGAGAGAGAGAGAGAGAGAGAGAGAGGGAGAGGGAGGGAGGGAGGGAGGCAGGCAGGGAGGGAGGCAGGGAGGGAGGCAAAGAGAGAGGGAGAGATCTCACATGTCATAAATGTTTGTTGAAAAAGAATAAAATATCCCTACCTTGGGAGAGCTCACCAGAGAATGAAAGCTTACAAGAAAAATAGATCCCAAAGCAGTGAATATAGGGTGTTCTTTTAAATCACTAATGGAAGAGCTTTGCTTTTCTGTAAATTTGTTGCCAGCCTGACCAGATTTAGGTTTTATTGTTACTGGCTAACCCCTAAATAATGTGCTGGACTCAAATTGAGACACAGGAAGACATTCCAGATGAAATGTTGCACAAAGACAAGGATACATTGTTACCAAGAAAGTTTCAAAATCTGAAGAGAAAATACCAAGAAATGGGATTAGATACTTCATATAGTATGAAACTGAGTTGTAAATGAAAGAACAGTCTGAATCTTTTTTTTTCTTTCCTTTTTCCCTTAGTACTGGATGAATGAATACACCTCATCCATTGGAATTGGAGTTTTTCATTCAGGAATTGAAGTATATGGTAGAGGTATGTGTACACACAGTTTAAATATACTTTCTGAAGATTTTGAATGTTAAAGGAATTGCAAAATTATAACTAGCTCTTTTTTTTAACCACTTCCATATGTTATTGCAGAAAGTAGGAAAAAACTTTCCCCATATTTGTTTATACTGTTTTGGAAAAAATGCCCAAAGTAGAATGTATTTGGGGAGAAAGTACTCAAAATACAAGAGTGTGCATTGATTTCACTGTCTCTTATTCTGAATTCTGTGGCTTTAAAAAACTTTTTTCTTTTGCAGTTATACCCTGTGATAGTTTGTGGTGCTGTACTGTGTATTATTAGAGTTCTAAGAAACTTTATACTGTGAAAAATGGCATAACAAAAAAAATCATTTCGGTTGGAAAGGGATTGGTACTAGACAATGTCAAACTTGAAATACCAATTTCCTGAGGGAATTTCAGTAATAAATTTGGTTTTTGTAGACTTATAAGTATGTATTTATAAACTGTAAAAGTAACACTGAGCAAATCCTGCCTTTGATTACATCTAGCATTTTGTACAAGAATGATGGCCTTTGTCTTTAACTCAGCCCTTTCCAGTCTTGTTATCTTCATTACGATAAATATAACTGGAGCCACTCAAACCAAGCTGCTCTCTCCTGTGTTCTGGTTCCCACTCTTGGTGCAAAATGATCTTGTATCAGTTTGAATCTTGAATCTTAAACCTACCTTAGAGCAGAAATGCCTTTATTTGCATCAACTAGGCAGTTTTTGTGGCCACTTAAAATATTATCGTGATTTATTCAGGGTTACCCCTGAAGACTACATACCAACTTTAAGAATACAAAAAAAACACTCATTTACTTACATGTTAAGTGTGTCAGTATGGTTATTATACTGTGTGTCGTCCCCCCCCCCCAATTTTGAAGATGGGACTTAGGGACCTTCCACATACTAATAAGCAGGTGCTCTGCCACTGAACTACATCCCCAGACCATGTTCATTTGTATATTCCACATTAGTGGATTTGGTTTAGCAAAATAAAATAAATCCTGACTATAAAGATCTACCATGTAAGCTTCATTTTACTTGAAAGTCCACACCTACCAAGTAATCCCAAGAAAAAGTGAGTGGCTTTTGCTGAAAGTTGAAGTAATTAGAGTGTTGCTATGATTGTAGTCTGTGGGTTTGCTGTCTTCATTTAGTCTGACTTTTTGCCAAATGTGTGTATTGCTTTTTAACTTGAATTTAGATGGTGTGTAACAATTTTTAAAGTGTCATTAACTTTTGAGCCACGTGATTATGCTGTGAAGTACAATAAGGGCATGTGGCATTTTCTTCATTTTTCAGATGAAGAAACTGAGGCCCACAAGTCATATTGGTAATAACCAATAGAACTAGGATTTGGATCCAATGGTGTTGTGTTGTGTTTTGTTTTGTTTTGTTTTTTGGTGGTACTGAGGATTGTAGGCTTTCCCACTGAGCTACATCTGTACCAAACTTTTTTTTTCTGAGGCAGAGTCTTACTAATTGCTAAATTCGCCCGGCTGGGTTTGAACTTGCATTTCCCCTGCCTCACACTTGCAGAGGGCTGGGTTACAGAAGTGTGTCATCGTGCCTAGCTGTTTGATGCAGTGCTCTTGTATGCAAGTCCATTGCCCTGTGACCCCCGAGTCATTGATTCCTTCATAAAATGATTCAGGAACAATTAGAAGCATGATTTGAAACATATCTATAAACTTACCAAAACTGACCAAATAAATTCTTGAAAGTGAATGATAGCTTCTTGTATGAAATTGTATCTGTGTCTTTCCTTGTATAAAGTTAAAAATTAAAATGTGATTTTTCCATGTCTAATCTGATTATCTGAAATATTTTTATAAAATTCTATCATTAAAATATTTAGTATTTATATTTCAAAATTGAATACTAAGCACTTTCTCATCTATGTTGGTTTTTTTCTGGGAAGACTGAATCAAAAGTAAATTTAGTCTTCATTTCTTTCCTATGCATTGTTATAAGACCTTTAAGATTATATTTAATAAATCTTAAATGTCTAATAAGACTTAAACTCCTTAATATCTAAGTGAGATTATCTGAATTATAGCCAGAAACTTTTGTTCCTTATGATTTGAAATCATTCTCCATTTTTGTTCTGGATGAGTTTATATCAGAAAAGCTGGACATAAATGCAATATAGTACAAATGGTGCCTTCCTAGGTAAAAGATTTACTGTGCAGAATTGTGTATGAGGGGGTGCCTGTTAATTTTAGAGGTTACTTTTTTCCTGAATGAAGGGAATTAAATTTATTGTTTTGTGTTTGATAATGTTGTGTCCTATAAAAATCAAGAATATTTACCCAAGGTACCATGAAAACTCAATGTCATTAGACAGTTTCCATAGAAGTGGCAGTTTGAAAAGTGCCAAAACACAAAGCTGACCACTAGAGAGACTACTGCCCCTTTGAGTGTTAGTCACTCTCCTCTTGCCAATATAAACAAATCCAGTATACCAGTCAAGATTGCCTTCGATGTCTTTCGTTATTCAAGTTTCATATCTTTTGTGACAACTGTTCTACAGTGGTAATAACTAAATGAGATGTTTGTGAAAGCATTTTATAAACTGAAAAATATTTAGATGGTATCATTATCTTCATCATTATCAAAGCTAATTCACCATTTGGCTAAATTTTGTGTGATAAATACTAAAAATCATGAGTTTTCTCTTTTCAGAATTTGCTTATGGTGGCCATCCTTACCCTTTTTCTGGAATATTTGAAATTTCCCCAGGAAATGCTTCTGAACTAGGAGAAACATTTAAATTTAAGTAAGTAGGGAGGATAATTTTTGTTACCCTGTCTTAGGTGCCAAAGCCTGTTTTTCAGGCGTACAAAATTCATTCTGTAGATTTAAGTTTAAATGTTTAAGTTACAGCTGCTGACACTTTATTTTTAAATGAAATCTATTTGTTATGTAAAGATGGGAATCCAAATCAAATGTCTGATAACCATTTATTCAGGACCTATGTAAGTTATTCTATTTTAAAGGTATTTTTATCTTTAACTCAGATTCTATTTCAGGAAACTTTCCTATTTAATGACAGACAATCCCTAACCCCCAGGCTCCTATTTGGGGTTGGGGCATTAATTGTTACCTACTTACCACTATTTTTTTTTTCCTTTTGTTGGTACATTTTAGGTATACAATGTAATGATAGTCATCATTGGAAATTTTCACCTTTACGTACTCTCTTGGTTTTTATTTTTCCCCCTTCCCCTGCCCTCCCTTCAATCCCTCCATCCCTCCCCATTTACAGAGACTTTGTTTCCTTTTTTTCATTTTCTCATATTAATTCCATTCCCTTCTTTCCTTTCCCCTGCCCCTCCCACTTCCCCTTCCCCTTTTCTTCCTATTTCACACTATCCACTATACCCTCTAGTCCTTATTTACACTTTCAGTTTCTCACACTAGAGAAACTATTCGGTATTTACATATGTGTGTCCTATTTATTTCACTTAAGAGTATCCCCTCAGTGTGCATCCATTTAGCTATAAATGTCTCTAATTTCTCATTTTTGATGGCTGAGTAGTACTCCATTTATATTTTTAAAAACCACATTTTCTTTATCCAGTCTCCATTTGATGGGCACTTGGGCTGTTTCCAAGTTTTAGCTATTACAAACTGTGCTGCTATGAACATGGTTGCAGATACATCACTGTGGCACGATTCTTTTATTTTGGGGAAGATACCCAGCAGGGGAATAGCTGGGTCAAATGGGACTTCCAGTCCTAGTTCTTTGAGGTATCGCCATACTGATTTCCACAGTGGCTGCACCAGTCTACACTCCCACCAGCAAAAATCTCTTTCTTTTCTCAATGAAAGGAACACTTTATAAATTTGAAATAACTAAACAGTTGATTAGCCTGGACACTATTAAGATACAGGTATTCCAGTGCTCGCTTTGGCAGCACATATACTAAGATACAGGTATTCCATGCAATGATAAACCTACAATGTGTGGATATGGATGTTTCATGGAGTCTGAAAATCTACATGTTAGGAAATTTCCATTTTTTAATCAAAGTTTGTATTTAAAGTGTTCTTTACAATCTTAGTTTCCAGAAGCTTTAAAGAAACTGCTGAATAACTTGCCAAGTGAAAAATAATGTAATGAGCTTATAATACAGAAATTCAGTATCAGGCTTACACACTACTAAGATCATGGCTCTCTTACTTTATTATTGAATTGATACATTTATACATAGGAGTGTAGTAATACTACACTTCCTGAATCCATTCCCTAGGACTCCCTTTTGGAAACAGTACTTGACGAGATGATTTTCTAATTGTTTTCAGCCTTCTTTGATGTCTAACTTGTATCTGACTAAGATTTTGCTTTTCATTTTTGCAATAGGGTAGATTGTTTCCTTTTTGGTATTTTTTAATAATGCTTTATAAATTTGAGCAAGTTTGACAATTTGTTTCACTGCAGAACAGTGACAAATAACTGATTGTTTCTAAGTGAAAATGTGGCTAGCTCTTGCTGGTGAGTGTAATTAAGCAGGAATATTTTTATCTTTGATATGGTCCTCTAATGACATATGTTTTATAAACAGTCTAACTTGTGCACTTATATAATTCAGAAGTAGTGAACTTACAAGTTTATTGCAGAAAAGTAAAAACTAAAATAAATGAAAATTTTTAAGTTTCTCATTTACCTGTAAGCCTATATTAACCCTGATTTGTTGCATCAGTCATAATATTCCTGGAAATAAGCAAATGTTTAAGTATATTTAATACAAATACCTGAAACTCACACAGCTATGTTCTTTTTTGTTGTTCTTTTTGTTTTTGTTGTTGTTCTTTAAGAGAAGCTGTTGTTTTAGGGAGCACTGACTTCCTAGAAGATGATATAGAAAAAATTGTAGAAGAACTGGGAAAAGAATACAAAGGCAATGCCTATCATTTGATGCATAAAAACTGCAATCACTTTTCTTCAGCTTTATCAGAGGTAAATATTTTATTTTAAAAGTTCTTCAGATAAATAACATTTGCTAGAATATTCATTGTCTCGCTGTATTCAATTTTGATTTGTTTCTTTTTCTGATTATTTGTTTTGTAAAAACCACAGTATTGTATTTCTGTTGCAGGAATGACTTTTCCAGATTGAGAGATTGAGAGTCAGTTTAGCTTTAAATGGTAATTGTGTTTGTTTCTTTGCAGTGGGTAGAGAGTGAGTCTTACTCTTTATTCATTTGTTTACAGCTGTGTGTTAGTCAGCTTCTCATGGCTGAGACAAGTACCTGAGGAAAATATTTTGGCTCACAGCTTCAGTGCATGGTCAGCTGGCTGTGTTGTTTGGAGGCCTGTGACAGCATGGTGCGTCCCAGCGGGGACACAGTAGAGCAAAGCTCACTCACACCTCCTCGTGTCCTGGAAGCAGAAGGAGGAACCAGAGTCCCTTCTAGGTCCTAGCCTCAGTGAACTAACTTCTTCCGGTAGATCTCACCTCTAAAGGTTCTGCCATCTCCCCATTGCCCTACAGGCTGGCAGCCAAGCCTTTAGCACATGAGCCTTTGGGGGGGATTTAAGGGCCAAACCATAACAAACTTGAAACTTTTCAATTTAAGGAAAAATGCCTAGGAAACTGATGCGTCTTAGCTGCTAAAACTTCTCTTTTGCTGAATTTAGTTGCCAACTTGAATTTTTTTTTCTTGGCCCTTATTTATTTATGAGTTATTCATTTCTCCTATCTGAAAATTTGCTGACCTCTCACACAGGCACTTAAGTTGCTTCCCTATTCTTGCATCCCAAACAGAAGATAGAGGAAAGAAATGAAAATAAGGTCTAGAGAATTAAATAGCACATGACTCCTCAGCTTTGACTCTTAGCAGATAGTTACACTAGTAGCATCAAGGTACCACAGATATTGCAAAAAATGTAAAGAAGAAAATGAGCTACTTATTTTAGTGACTTCTATGCAGAAATGCTTGGCTACCAGGCCTTTTGCACTTCCCCTTTCCAACAGAGCTATAGTTGTCTCTTACCATACTAGTCAAAGTGTGTTTCATGGACCAGCAGTATCACTTAGGAATTTGTGGAACAAATATCTCTACCCCGCTATGTATGTACTGAATCAGAATCTTCATTTTATCAAGATCTCCAGGTGATTCATATGAAGATAAAGATTTGAGATGCTCCACCAGTCTGTGGATGCATCAGTAACACAGAGGGGATGTAGTCAGTTTGCAGGGAAGGGGGAAAGGTGGTTCTGAGCTTTTTTGACCCCCATGTATTATATATGCAGGGAATTCATGCAGAGACTCTGTCTCTAAAAGGTGGCGGAGGGGTGAAAAAAATGTTAGTGGGACCCAGCTTCTTTACTTTTTGCTGGCATAGAGTGCAAGTTTAAGTCCTTTGAGTATCAAAAATGTCTCCATAAGTGGTGACTTTTACTCTGATGTTTGCTTATTGGGGCCTGTGGTAAAAGGAGACTACATAAAGAGAGACAGTCTCCAGATGGAAATACACTAGTAATGGTTTTCAAAGCAGTTTTCAAGTTCCTAATGATCTCTTATAAAATCAGATGTTTGACTGGTGATTAACCAGCCTGACATGCATATTTTTGAGTGGATCTTAGAAAGGGATTCCGAAAGCCTTACATGTCACCTCAACTTGGAAGTGTGCTTGTCTGACCCTCCAGCATCTCAGCTTTATGCTAAAGAAAAGCCCGTAGCTTTGCTTTGCGCATTTTTTCCCCCTCTGAAATTCATAGATATTATTTCCCTGGGCTTGACAAACTAAAACCAGACATGGTCTGTCCGTGGTTTTGGCCTCTGCATAATCTCGGTTAAACTGAAAGATACAGGCTCAGAGAACAAGATTTCTGTGTGGGAATCACTGTAGATTTAGGACACTTTTCTGTAAGGCCTTCAACTATGTAAAATGGTTGTTGACTGAAGCATGTGGGACACTTGTACATTTCCGTGGGAAAGCACTTCTCTGGCAGGACCTTCTGAAATCAAGCTTCTGGTCAGCTTGGTATTTCCGGTACAGGGACTAATTTTGTTCCTGACTTAGTGCTTGCGAGGCAGGCGGTGGCACCACTGAGCTAAATCCCCGGCCCCCTGACTTTTGATTACTGCCACAAGTTACAAGTGATAGGGAAAGCCCATCACCAAGACTGTGACTCTGATGCTCACAACTGACAGAGATGTGTCACCAGAGTCTAGACTCAGAACTTTGTAGATGAGTTCGACAGTGGGCTGATAGCCTAGCTTTCTTCCACATTTCTTCTGATACCCACAACTTCATAGGACAGTTTTATTACTTAATTGTAATTGTCCCCAGAAATGAAATGGTCTTTCTACTCACTAGACCAATGATCAGAATAAAAGAGGTAAGTGATTCTATTAATCCATTTTGAAACTTTCTGAAAATTCAGGATTTAATTTTGACCAATTCCTAACATGGGTATGTCTTTCTGTTTACATTATATAAAAATATTTCCCTATGAAAACTCTTTTGTTCCACTTTAATACACCCCTTCCAGACAAAAAGTCTCCATGGGAGCAGGACATCATTTTTAAAACGTGAAGTTAGAGTGCTAACTGAAACATAACTGGTTTTGCAATAAAAATCAAAATCTTGGCACCTTGGGAGACTCAAAGGAAGACTTAATCTTTCAGTACTGAATCTTTGCATTTCAGTACTGCTGTTTCCCTTTTCCTAGAAAAACTTCCCATGCTTTTTAAGCACTGCATGCACTTTGAATTCATTCAGGCTGCTGAGCCCCTGCTCACACCTAGCAGTGCTGACTCCAAGACAGGAGAGGAGGCTTCATCTTCTGTACCTCCCTTAGAGGACACCTCTAGGTGCCACCCGCTCTCAGGAGAGTGGTCATCTGGTACTGTGGTGGACAAACAGACCTGGGACTGACTGCCCTCAGGTAATCCCTCTGAAACAAAGACACACTGATTTTTCACCTGGATTGGAAACATAGAGGTTCCACCAGACTTCATGTTCCTTTTCCCTTCCTAATTTTCCTTTTGTTGTAATCATAGCTGTGAATACAGGCATAGGCATACTTGGCATAGGCCAAGTCCTATAACTCCTCAGCAAATCTTCAAACCTAAAGGTAGTTTTAGGGACCTATAACATAGTTCCTTCCCTGTCATTCTCCAAAGATGACCTTTTCCCCCTCTCTCCCTCCTTCCTTCCCTTCTCCCCTCCCCACTTTTGAAAATTTAGTATTGTGGATTTTCTTTTTTCCCTGGATTTAAAAATATTTTGTATATTGCAGTTCAGTGCAGGTACAGCTCTTGTTCCATTTGTCCTTCTTCAAGTCTTAATTTGCCCCAATAATCTTTAATAGACTTTTCTGTTTTCTGGCATGATAAGATATTCCAGGCTCATCCATATACTGTATTTCTTAACCTAGAACTGTTTGCTTCTAATAAGAAATATTTAGAAACCTTAATCTGGGTTCCATATTACTGCTAAATTGATGTCGTTTCTAGATTTCTTTTTTCCCCCAATAGATAGGTGTCTGACTTTTTAACAGGCACATTCACATTTTAATTATTTATTTTTCAAAGTAAAATTAGTTTATCACATGTCCCACAAATCAGCTGATGTAATAATCTACACCAAAAGAATCTATTCAGATAAAAACAGTAGAAGTCACAGAAACTGCTTGGGCCTAAATCTCATTATTATTAGCATAAAACATGGCCACGGACTGGAGCACAGTGAGAGGGCGGCATTCGTCTCCTGGGAGTCCCCCACATTCCATAAAACTGTGTCCCAGAAAACATGCTGTCTGTCCCACAGCTGGAGCTAGAGTTTTAGTTAGCCTTATCAGTACTGTGTGTCTGTCTTAAGGCAAAAATTTCAGTGGTCACCGACAACATAATTACTCATTCTTTATCTCTTTATTCCCACAACAGCTAGGATAACGGGGTCCTCGTCGCCATTGATAGTATGATTACTGGAAAGCTGAAGGTTTTTAGGGTTTATTATCTTTAGAGCATGACTTAATAAAGAGATACAGTCAAATGGGTGTGTTTTACAATTAACTGGACTAATTTCTTTCTGTGTGGTTATATCGACTGCACCACCTGTAGTTAGGTTCATTTGTTCTGTTTATCTTTTTTTTAGGAGGTTGCATTTGTTGTTGTTTAATTTTATGTTAAATAAAATCTTCCCACAGCTTCAAAGTCATATCCAAAAAAAATGGTATATTTATGGAAATCTAGCTCCATTGTATTCTCCTTCTCTTCTTTGGCTTCTAGAACTGTAGGAAAATAAATCAGTAGTGTTTTAAACTCCAAATTTTATAATTTGTTACAGCAGCCATAGAGAGCTAGTACTGATGTTGGTACCTTAAAGTAGGGTGCTACTATAACAAACAACTAAAAATGAAAAAGTAGTTTTGGAATTAGGTCATAGAAGAGGACTGGAGCAGTTTTGAAGAGTTGGGTAGAAAAGGCCTAGATTACCTTGAACAGACTGCTGTAGAAATAAGGATATGAAAAGTGCTCCTCATTAAGGTTTAAAAGGATATGAGGAAGATGTCATTGAAAACTGGACAGAGGAGATCCTTGTTACATAGTGGTAGAAGCTTAGCTGAATTGTGTTCTGCAGTTATATGGAAGGCAAAACTTACAAGCAGTAAACTTGGTTACAGTCTCCTTTCTTGTTATAGTAAAATGTGCAAAGACAATAGAAAAAGGAACTGTTAAGCAAAAAAAAAAGGACTCACTACTTGATTTGGGAGTTTCTCGGCCTATTGAGATTGTAAAAGATGCTAAATCTGAAACTTTACTGATAGGAAAGTGTGTTATAGAGAGAAGGCGGGGGATGTAATGGAGCCACCTTTCAACTCCTGAAGAGCGTACGTAATACGTGCCTCATGGATCCTCTTAACCATCTCAGCAGAAACCAAGAATAAAGTTGGGCCATCCAGGAAAAATCTAATGAAGTCATAGAACACACGTGGGGGCCCCACAACATTTTTGAGCATGTTATATTCGCAGGAATACTGCCTCCTTGGGCCGAAAGTATGGAGAGAGCACAAAATGAAAGAAGACTCTTAGACTCTAAAACTTACAGGCAGGAAATAGGTTGGAGAAAGAGGAAGTGTGAGTCCAGGGACAGACTTCAGAGGCCCAGAGGGCAGAGCAAGAGTCCTAATGTCCTATTGGATTTCAAAACTGGTAGGACTAATAAGTCCTTGTTTCCTTCCGTGTTCTCTCTTTTGGATTTGGAATGTCTATAACTTACTTGTCCAACCATTACATTTTAGATGTGTCATACACTTTCCTCAACTTCACTTTTTTTCATTCAACAATATAGCAGGTCCCCTTATCTAAGGGAGCTGTGTTCCCAGGCCCCAGTTATGCCTGAAACTACAGATGGTATTGAATCTTACACTGTTTCCATAAACGTATATACCTGTGATAAAGTTTAATTTATAAATTAGGCACAGTAAGAGATAATAAAATAGAACTATAATTTAAATACTGTTATAAAAGTTATGTGAAAATTGTTTCCTTTTTTTTTTTTTTTTTCGTTTCTTTCTTGAAAGAGTCAAGACAATATTAGTTTTGGACCACAGTTGAGAATAAGTAACAAACTCCAGAAAGCAAAACCTTAAGGAAGACACTACTGTACTATATATCTGAAGAGTTCATTCTGTAAGGGCTGGGGATTTAGCTCAGTGGCACCATGCCTGTCTTGCAGCTACAAGGTTCTGAGTTTGATCCTGTGTACCAGAAAAAAAAAGTTCATTCTCTAGCAGCATAGAGAAACTTCTGATTTCTCAGCTGAGTAGTTCTTATGTGGATGACCATAATTTATTCTACCACTTTCCTGTTAATGTTATTTGGGTTATTTTTGGTGTTTTTCCTATTCCAAAAAGTGAGGTAATAAATACCCTCATACATCTCCATATTTTTGCCAGTGTGTCTCTGACATAAATTCTTAGGATTGCTCAATTGAAGCTTAAAAGCAAAAGGCATTTTGCTGTGTAAACCAAGTACTATTTGACCACTAGCCACAGTAAGAAGTATGTTTTAAATTATAACCCAGATTATGTGTGTGGACCTGTATGCACATGCATATTTATCACATTACCTCACTTTTTGACAGTCTTTTATTTTAAAAAATTCAGAATGCAATGCTCATTGATCTACTAATGAGTCTTAACTGAAAGTTTTCAAAACATTGACACTAGAGTTTGCTCCCTTTTTATGAAAAAACAGATAGTGCATTGTTTAGGTTTATGAGCCAACGATTTATGATCTCAACTCTGCCTCTGCTACATAGCCCAAGAGTCATATGAATGGGCATGGCTGGTCCAGTAAAATTTTATCTACAGAAACAGGTGCCTGAAGATTACAGAACTATTACAGGATAATCAAGCCATGCCCTAAGTCACCTTCACCTGTAGCACATAGAAATATGGAGGAGGGTAGATTGCTGAATAACATTAGAGCTCAGACAGGAAATGATTGTTGAATAGACAGAGTGGCTGTCATGTTAACCCAAATGTTCTTAGTTGCCACTTATGTGGTTACTGTCCAGATATGCAGATATTCCTAAATATGTTTCGGGTATAGAAGGTATTTACCAGTGTTTTTAAAAGTAGAAGAGTGTTGGAAGACTCTGGGTTTTATCCCCAACACCATCAAAAAAAAAAAAGAAGAAAAGGATAGATGGGAGTGGTGTTGCCTAAGGTAATTGCCCAATTTTCTCCCAGAGCTGGTCCGTGCATACATTCTTCAAATCTTTAAATACGTGTCTGCCCCTTCAGATACTGTAAGAAGTATTGGATAATCAAAAATGAACAGAGCACACTACCTTACCTCAAGTAAAACCTCAGCCAGGGATTTGGCTCAGTGGTTTCACTGCCTGCTGTGCAAGCGCAAGGACCCAAGTTTGATCCCCGGTACCAAAACAAAAAAAAAAACTCAAAACCTCAGTTTACCTATAGTTCAGAGAGAGATGGTATTTAAAATATAATAATCATTAAGGGGTAAAGCTAAATTGCTGGGGAGAAAAGTTACATTGCATTCATAGGTGCCAGCATATTTAAATTTTAGCTAATTTTGGGGGCATAATGTACCTTGAAACCTCTTTCCAAGTTCACTAAGATACACAGATATTTAAGATGGCACTTTTCAGATAACGATCATAATCTTTGGCCTGTCTAGAGGCAACACCAAAGGAGCAAGGGAGTATGGGTTAAGTCAAGTCCAATATTGTATGCCAGGGGGGAGGATAATGAAGAGTAAGTTTTGTAAAAGATCCAGTTCTAACTATTTGAAATGGCCGGGGTGGGATTCAGAAGTCCTGAGGACAGTAGAAGGTGAGAAGTGGGCACTCAGATGCAGCACATCATCAGCTACACCCATTTCTACCTGATTAAGAGTCTTCAGACTGAAACATGACCAGATTTGATGCTTTGTTCCAACCTAGCCCTGGTTCTGCAGAGGAGTCACAGTGCCAGGTCTTCATGTGAGGACACTTCTTTCTGGATCAGGACAAGCTTCCTTGAAACAAACTTAGTTGTGGACAGAAGTAAAGGGGTAAGATCCAGGCCAGTAAAAATGAAGTGATAGAGACTAGAGGACGGTAGAAAGATAGCTTTGAAAAAGAATTGACAGGAAAACATCCAAGATGACTCTTATAGCTACCTGGGTTTCGTTTACTTTAATAATATGTTGTATTAATAAGCACCTTCTTTTTCTATGTCCAAAGTACTTTTATGTGTGTCTCAGAGCAGTTCAAGGATCAAAGAAAGAAGCCAAGTGGAATTAGCTTGATTTTACTTTTAAAAGCAAGCAGCTTGACAAGGTTCTTCAGAAAGGAAAGAATGGCGCTGACGGAAGGAACCCTGGGCTCCTAACTTAAGGAGCCTCTCATTATCAGAAGCCTGGAGTGGTAGCACTGAACGCTAGTCTGCAGTGGCTTGTCTTTATAGCCACCTCCCTCCTGCCCTGCACTTTCGTGGCAGTGGACCAGATAACTAGCCTCTCTGACCTAATGCAGAACTCTTTCTCCTCTATAGATACTTTGTGGGAAAGAGATTCCTCGCTGGATCAATCGACTTGCCTACTTCAGTTCCTGCATACCCTTTCTACAGAGCTGCCTCCCGAAGGAGTGGCTCACTCCCGCAGCCCTGCAGTCCAGCGTTAGCCAGGAGCTCCAGGATGAACTGGAAGAAGCAGAGGATGCTGCTGCATCTGCTGCCATGGCGAGCACTGCAGCAGGCTCCAGATCCGGGCGCCACACCAAACTATAAATATCTCCAAAGTCACACCTGCGGAACTGTCTCTGGCAGTTGAATATCACTAGAGAAAAGTAAACAGAGTAAGCATCCTTTGGATATTTTGTATGCAAAGATGGCTCTCCCCTAAATCCCAGTTTTTCAGCTCAGGATTATATTTGTAATCAAAAAAAAAAAATCACTTTGGCACAGGAGGGAGAACTTTGTACAAAGCTGCCCTCTGCTTTTTTTTAACCCACTTGTAAATTTGGATTTACTTCTTCTGTTTTATACAAGCTCTGTTAAGTTATGTTTACAGTATTTTGTATCGCTGTTTACAAATCTTGCATGGACTTCTGCTGCCTGAAAGAAGAAAATCCTCGTCTTCACAAATTAGGCAGGTAATCTTTGTACACTTCCTGACAATTGCCAGAGCTATGGCATAAATAATAGGCACACAAAAGGGTACTCACAGTTATAGTTGCCATCACCTGCTTAAGAATTCTCTTTTAGATTTGTATTTGTTTTGTTAATATTTTTGGCACCAGGATGCAGAGAACCAAACTGGCCTGCTGTGAAGGAGCACACACCGCCCCAAGGGCTTGGGATCCTGGGTCATTTCCTCCTCTCTTCCCACTCCAAGTAGCACATCTCCCAAGGTGCCCATGGGACAGTTGGTTGCATCCCAAATATCCGTCCACCAAGCAGGGTGGTCTTCTTGTGTAAGTCTGGCTTTAATGCCTACGATTCTGTAAGATTTTTCTGTTGAAGATAGTCTTGTAACTGACAAGTATTTTTGCACACATGTTGTGGGAGGAGCTTCATTTTTATTTTAAGACATCATTTCCTCCCCACACAGGATTTTGTTCATGAGATAGGAACATCCTAAGTGGTAGCCTTCTGAGTAGCAGTATGAGTTGACACTCAACTGTTTTTCACTGTTCGGGCTTCCTTTTGTACTAGACCTTGAAAACTAGATTCTAAAGAAACATTCCATTGAGGTAATTCTTTAATATTTCATACTTTTTATCTACCATATCAGAAAGCATATTTTGTTACGGGAGTAGCTCCACCTCATAAAAGAATGCCTATTCTCATTGACTTCTTGATGAAAAATTATATTTGTCTTAACATTCATCTTTTTATGTTCTCCCAAATGTATGTATCTTACCTCACATAACTTAAAGAATGAATTTGTCATTAGAGATAAATCCTCACTAGCAAGGATGCTGTCCGCTCAAGCCTACTCCCAGTTTGACCCTTGGATGTAAGAACCAAGTCATTACATGTTAAATTGAATATTTCTGCCTTAAGAATGAATGTCCTAAGTAAAATATTGGATGCAACATATAAATGATCTAAGGCAGTGATTTCAGCTTTAGATGTTAGTTTTAAGGTTATTTACGTTTATTTAAACTTTTGGATTGGATTATTTGCTATTGCTTTCTGTGATGATACATATCTTTCAGTGAACTACATTTTTAACTTTTCCATAAGCTGATTTTGATTGATTTTTATCAACTCAAGCACACCCTATTGATAGGGAAAATAAACCTTAGGTTATAAACATTCGCCTGAGGAAAATGAAACCACTTTATGCTTTTTGACTATTCTATTTCCAGAGAGAAAAAAAGCCTTTACAAATTACTCTCAGTTCTTTAGGGGACAGAGCACTTGTTTTTAAGAGATGTGATAGAATACATGATCTTTATGAAATGTTGACTTGGTTAAGGTCTACAAATGAGACTTAAGACAAAGCATTTAGGTTCCACCCATCTAAGTTGTTCACTAAAAGAAGAGCTCTAGCACCAAAAGCCAGATTAGTAGGAAGTGGTTTGATGCCTTTGGCCTGGGGTTTTTTAGTAATATGGATTATAGTTTTTTCTAATCCATTCAAATATACATGTTTTAAATGTGGGCTACTGACCAGAAGGAGTAGCCATTAGTTAGACACTTCTTGGTGAATAGCCAGGAACATCTGATCTTTGCTTATCCACAATTCAGCAAGTCAACATATAGATGGTTTTTGTTGTATTTACTGTCATCTGCAGCATTTGGAGTTTAAGACTAGTACAAAAGCTATTAGGAATACTGGCCTATGGCCAATTGTCACACTAAAAATTACCAGATAAAATTCTGGACATGTAGCTGGGCATGGTGGCACATGCCTGTAATCACAGCATTTGGGAGACTGAGTCAGGAGGATCACTACAAGTTTGCCCTCACGCTGTAGGGTGTACTTCGTTTCCTACTTTTACTTGGCCCAAACTCGCTCTACAGAGCCTGTTTCTTTTCCTACCTTTAATAAAACTTCACTGCCATTAAGAACAAAAAACAAAAATTCTGGACATGAGATTCCTTGTAATTTAATTGTACTTGAAGTTGAGAGAAGAAATATCTCTCTTTAGAAAATCTCATTCATAGGGTCCAGGGATTTAGCTCAGTGGTTCCGCCCCTGCCTCGCAAGCACAAGGTCCCAAGTTCGATCCCCGGTACCAAAAAACACAAAATCTTATTCAGGTTAGGTCCTTCTTTACAGTTTAAATTGAAAATGGATTTAATTAGCATTTAACCTGCTTTTCCTTGCCCCTGCACAAAAAGAATCTTGTTCTTAACCTGATCTCTGTTTTATTAACAAAAAGAAAAATCTTACGTCAAAAATCTGGTAATTAGTGTACATGTGATCATTGGAGTCAGATATACTTTTATTGTAATAACCAAGTGAAACATTTTTCCTGATGGGTTAAACAGTAATAATGATGTTAGCAGGTCAGAAGCTTCCGTAGTTTGTTTTTAATGGCCCTTGGGGTTTTTTTGTTTTGTTTATTTGTTGTTTGTTGTTTGGGTTTTTTGTTTTGTTTTTTACCCTGAGAAGGGGCATCTGCTTTGCAAAGTGGCTTGTGGGATTGTGGAGGGTGGTGGTACCATCTTACTGAGTGCGCCTCCACTTGATGCCTGGACTCCAGCCAACTATTGCTCTGACCCACAGCAATAGCGCAAGTTACCCATCACCAGCATTTGTACAGAGCAGGGAATTCTGGTTTTAGTCAATTGATAACATTGTGTGTATGAGGAGATTTAGCACCAGACAGCTGCAGGACTCTGTTTCCATGGCTTCTTCCATCACAAAACGGGTAGAAACACATTCACTGCTTCAGGGTTCTAATCTGTGTGTCTTCTTATGGCTCCGTATCTGTAAGATGCCCTGTGAATTTGCAACATGCTGTATTTCTTCTAAAAGTTGAGTTTTATTCAGCAAGTTGGCCATACTGCTGTTGTACCCTCTTTTCTTCAGTATGGTTTGAGAGTGCAGCTCAGTCGTGAGGCTTTTGCTGTCTACTCAGTTCATACACAAACGTCTTTGTTGTCCAGAGGTGTTACAGCTGTCAGAGTCTTCATGGACCTGAAGATAATATCTTGTGAAGTTGAATGCAAGTGTACTGTCATTCATAGTGTTTATATAAAAATACCAGGAATCTTCACTTTTGCTACCTTAATATAGCATTGGGCTATCATGTTAAAACATTGATATACATCGATTTATTAAAAAATACTTTTATAAGAAATGTTTTATAGTACTTTCTGACCTCTAGGAGACTGCTGTTGTATGTATGGGGCTGGGCGTGAGGGAAGTCATGGCCAGACTCCACATCTTCCTCTGTAGTCACAAGTTTGCACTGAGGTCGTGGGTCCACACTTTAGCTGTCAGAGAGCACATAGGAACACGTAGGAGCAGCTGCCAGCCCAGGAGTCTGGAGAATGGAGACAAGGCAGGCGGCCCAGAAGGGGCTCCCCTGAGAACGCAGGGAGAAACCTACAAAGGAATAGTACACACACACACGCACACACAAAGCAGCAATCACTTTAGCCTGAGTGACCGGGCTCTTCATTTCCTGTGAACCTGTTCTGCTTGATGCCTCCTAGCTGAGTAATATTTCCATCCACTAATTTAAAAACTTCTCTTGAGTCCGAGGATTTAGCTCAGTGGTTCTGCCGCCTGCCTCACAAGCACAAGGTCCTGAGTTCAGTCCCCGGTACCAAAAACAAAAAACTTCTCTTGAAATAAGTAGTACTAAATAAATGAGTAAGGTCCATAATGGTCTGTCAGTGCCTGGCTACCCTACTGAATAAGAATAATTCATCTGTTGTCACCTCAAGGACAGGAACCAAAGGGAACACCCCTGCTCCCCAGGCTGGTACTGTTTCTTAATAGTAATAAGGAAGTTACCCGCTCAGACCTGGTAAAGCAACTTCAGGCCCTTGCCTATAGAATGGATGCCAGGTCTGCTGGAAGACCTGGGAGGTTTGGGGTTTTGTTTTTCCTTTATTGTCCACCTTAAAGTTCTCCCACTATCCTGGTATTAGCCTGGTTCTAACTTTACAGAAGTCTGTGCAAATAAAGATTAATGGCTTCTTGCTGCACTTCCGAAGTTACATTGGTGGCAAACAACTACTTATTTCCTTATAGATTTGAAAACCCAGACAACTGCTGACCCCTGCCAAACCTCTCCCTTTAATCCCTTCCCCAAAAGGAAAGTCCTCCCAAAAGGATCATACCTTGAACCTACATTGAGAATTTTTCTTGCAGTCAAGGCCAAAGAGAACGCTAAAGATATATAAGAGACCTCTTAACAGGATCAGGGAGGCATTTGTTTCCCAGGGATAAGATGAGCCCAGCTCTGCAGCTCTGCCCTGAACTGAGAAAGCTTCATTCATGGCGCCTACTGAGAATGCTATTGACTGGAGTAGGTAAGGCCGCCATTTCGAGCTCTTCCTCACCCCTGACCCGATAGCCCTGGAGCAGTTGCCTGGTTCCACAGTACACTCACTCCTAGCCACTTGGTGGGCCTCATGGTTAGAGAAGCCTTGGCTGCTACCCTGTTGCTTTCATATCCCAAACTTCCAGATGGTGTATGACATGGACCTGGACAACCTTCAGGTGCTTCGGAAGCCCCAGCCACACATCCATACAGGTTGTCCTTAGTCCATAGGCAAGAGTATCAAGCCAGACTCCTTCAAGTGGCATGAGTGATTCCTCTGCTCTACACTGGAGGAGAAGTATACATTAGACATGGTGTGAAAAACAAAAATGAGGAAGACCATTTGTCTGCCCGGAGTCTTCAGTCCACATGGCCAGTGCATATCCGCTCAGGCTGGGCTTTCAGACTGCAAAGCCAGAGTCTGATCCTTGGCTCTAACAAGAAAACTTGTGTCTTCCTCTTCTGCCAGAGTCAGCAGGTGCCACAGAAATGCCCCAGTTTTGCCCCCTGACAGGTAGCTGATAGCCCACAAAAGACCAGCGTCCTCACAGAAAAAGATAATCACTTAAGTTGTAAAAGCAGAAAATTTGAGGACAAAGAACAGGAAAAGATTTTTTTGTACCCCTGCAGTGTGCTTGAAGCTGTGCTATACTTTGACATGCCGTTTCATTTAATTGTCAGAGTGGCCTCTTAGGTTATTCCTGCTTTACACAAGAGGTCATTGGCCCAAGATCACACGGATGGCATAGGAGAAGTCCATACTTCGCCAACTCTGAAGCTTTCCATTGAGGCGTACTGCCGTTTTTAAATGGAGACTCCATCCCACCCCAGATCTAATCTGTGTGCAAATCAGCATTTTACTGAGATCCCCAGGTGATTGCATTAATGTTTGAAAAACGTTGCTCTATGCCATAAGACTCGGTTCTGTGTGGTGCGAGCCTACCCTGCCCCTAGAAATGAGTATTTCTTGAGTAAAGTGACTGTCAACCTGGACAAGTGAATGTCTGATGGGCCTGGCAGTCAGTTCCCCTCCAAAATTCAGCAGAGCAGCAGAATCCAGGCGCTAAGGGTTCTGGACCACATCAGCTGTCCTCCAGCTTCCTGTGAGACTGCCAGGCAGCACCCATCATGTGGCTGCCCCTCTTTACATCTGTCACCACCGAAGGCCCAAGCCTCCTGGGCCCTCCATCCCAGATCTTTGCCCCGCCTGTTCTGTGCGTGCCCTCATCTGGCCAGCACTCTTCATCTTCACTGCCCCCTTCCAGAATCCCCTCAGAAATTCCCAATCAGCAAATGCCCAACTGACACCATTCTTTCAAATGCTTCTCCTGAAATCTGGCTATCCCTAGAGCTCTCTCGCTCAGCATTTGTGTCATCTGCCATTTGTGCTGTTTGCACATCATTTCTCTCTCCTCCCTCCTTTGATACCTCCAGCCCCCAGCCCCGATATCCAGTTCTGCCAGCTAACTCCCCATCGCTGTCACCCACTGCCCCTCACTGCCATCCTTTCTTGTCATCCTTCCCAGTGACAGCACTCACAGATGGCCGGGCCCATCCAGTCCTCTAGCCCGATGTTCTCAACCAGGACTCTTGCCATTTGTGGTGGGACATTTCTTTGTACCAGACAGTCCTGCCCATGACAACACCTCTGTCATCTCTCAACCCTGCCCCTGGTTGGTAGCATTTACCCCCCCACCCCCATGATCATTACAACATTAAATGAACCTCACCCCTACACACACACATCTCCTCCCGCCAGGAGAGGGATCCCTGTCCTGAGCTGAGAGCCACCGTCAGTGTCCCACGTCAGCCATGCACTGCAACCTCCCACTTGTTCTCACTAGCAGTGTTCCAAACCACTTCCAGCTGGGTGTGGTGGCACACACCTATAATCTTAGCACTTGGGAGGCTGAGGCAGGAGGATCACCACAAGTTCAAGGCCAGGTTGGGCTACATAGTTCAAATTCAGCCTGAACTACATAGCAAGACCCTGTCTCCAAAAAAAAACACTTCTAAAATCTTCAAGCGGTTTGGACCACTAATGTCCCTGCTCACCCTAGTGCCATACACTGCACCAAGTCTTGGCTTTATCAAGCTCTCAAGTCCCTCAAATCTAGGGCTCATTTACTAACATCACCTCCCTTTGCCATGTCTTCATTTTTCTTCTCACCCAGCCCAAATGCCATTGTCAATAATCGAGTTGTTTCCTCCTCAGTATCCTCCATCCACCCTTTCTGCATTATAATGACATGGCACACTCGGCCCTGTTGGGACCTGACCTCTCTCTCTGTGTCTGAGCCTGATGAGCTGACCGTCGCTGGAGAGGAACCACACCACTGGGCTGAACGGCTGGATTTTAACACTCCTGTCCACAAGCCTCACATGGGCACCCAGCGGCATGGTATATTCCAGTTCCCTGCCCACCTACCTCCCAGAGGCCTCTCCTTACCTCCTCTTCAGGGCGCCCACGTGTTCACGTGTTCCCCATACACAGTTCACCTTGTGCCTCAATAACAAGACACTTTAGGCAGTTGACTTGCAGCCTCCCAGTGTACAAATTTCACCTGAATGTGTACCCAGAGTGACTACTTGTTCCATGGAGGAAGCACCCTACTCCTGTCAAAAGGCACCCTCTCCGGTCTCTGAGTCCTTCTCACCTCTCCAGCCCTTAGCTCCAACAGTTACTCCTCTGTCCCTTGGGATCAGATTTCCTTTCTCTACTAAGTTATTTCCATCAGCACAAAATGTGTAACATGATTTCTTGCCAAAAAAACAAACTGCCTTGACTCCCTCCACTGTAACAAAGCAGCACTTCTGTTTCTCTCCACAACAAAATTCTCTCTACCACCCTCAGGTTCCTCTCACTATTTTTAAAAACACCTTGATTGTGAATTACATATGCAAAAGAATTGGGCCTGGGGATGTGGCTCAATGGTGAAGTGCTTGCCTAGTATGCTCAAGCAGTGGGTTCAATCCCCAGCACTGCAAAAAAAAAAATGCATAGAATGTATAGGCACAGTGTAAATAAAGAATGATAAGGGCCTGGGATTTAGCTCAGTGGTTCTGGCGACTACCTTGCAAGCACAAGGTCCCGAGTTCAATCCCCCAGTACTAAAAAAAAGAATGATAAGGTGACCACCACCCTGTACTGACTGCTCAGCTTAAATATTAGAGATAGCAGGACAACAGAGCATGCGCAGGCCCATTTGCAGTTACTTCTTTACCCTCTGTCACACCATCCTAAAGTTTGTATTAATCATTCTTTTCCCTTTATGGTTTAATCACCTACATATGCATACTTAAACAGTATGCTATTTGGCTTTGTTTTTGAACTATATAAATGGAGCCATAATGTATATATTCTGTGATTTTTAAATTCTATATTTTTTAACATGGATATTAATGTATATAGTTGAAATTCATTTTCACTGTTGTATCATTCTGTTGTATAAATATACCACAATTTTTATGTTTTACCTTTAATGAACATCTGACTACTGCCAGTTATATCACTATGACGAGCAATACTTCTATGAACATTATAATGCATATCTACTGCTGCAGATGGGAGAACTCTAAAATGGAATTGCTAGGTGTGAAGAATGTATGTGTTCAACTTTATTAATGTAGAAAAAACAATATTCCCTTCTATTACACTTTTATTAAATAAAATCCTATTCAGTCCTCTTTCAATCTGCTAATCAGAGTTCCACAACCTAGATTATTCTTTTATAATATCATGTAATGAAATTTCTCAGTGTCTGGCCTTAAAAATATTTTTCATAAGTAGCTGAAGTCAAGG